CTTAAAAACTAATCATTTTGAGAACTAAGGTACATTGTATCCAATGATCTAATTTTAAAATTAACCTAGAAAACTATAATTTAACACACTTGTCATTTGGGGAAATGAAATGCTGTTTTATTTTGTTCGAGACAGGATCTATTCCTGGAACTTGCTATGTAGGCAAGGATAGCCTCAAACTCACAGAGATTCTCCTGCATCTGCCTGCCTCCCAAGTGTTGGGATCAAAGGTGTATGATACCATTCCCAGCCTTGAAATGGTTTTGATAATTCACAAACAATCACAGTTACTGAGGCTCAGCCTGTGCCTCAGTTTCTCAGAGTAGAGAGTTTCTTCTTTGGCAGCCCTATAGACTGCACAAGCAAGGCACACACCAACACTGAACACTATCCCCCAATGGTCCTTTTACTTTTCATTTTGAGATAGGGTCTCACCAAGTTGCTCAAAGTGGCTTTGAACTTGCTTGATTATCCAAGAACCACCTTAAACTTTTGATCCTCAAGAGCAGCTGAGATTATAGGTTTGTACCATGAAGCTTTAGTCCTGATTCAGGTTCTTAAAAGGTAATGTGCGACCACGGAACATTTTTCAGAGTTGTAAGGATTATTCATGAGATATTTTATTAAAATACTGAGCACTAGGAAGTAGAGGTGTGTTACCTGAAAAGGAGGAATTGAGAATACTGAGCCTTTTATCTCAGTTAGCTCTGTCTGCAGAGAATGGAGAAGTCTGTAACCTGTTGGTGAGGTTGCTGCTTTGTGGTAGTAATGGATTTTCCTAAAGCTATTTCCCTCTGATCATTAATAATCTCTGTACAGTAAAGGGCTATTGTTCTTCAGTATAAGTAAATAACCCTGCTGGAGACACTGCTTATCTTCAGACCACAATGTGTATTTCTTACTGGAAATGTTAACTCAGGTGCCAGCATTGAAGGCACGACAAAACTTTCCTTCCTATGTCTCTTCATTTATCTTTTTCTAACTCTTTACCATTGTGCTCTTCTCTCCTAGAGCTATTCTAGTCCCTGCTTTTTGTCAGATATTGGCTGGTACACTGAATGATTTTACTGTCACAACAATTGAACAGTTTTCAAGTGAAACTGTGCCCTATAGATTCCTGATCCCCTAGCTTCCATTACAAACACACATGCACACACACACACACGACTGTCTCCTGTCCTAGATTTTTTTGGTTATTAGAATCTGAAGAGGGAAGTAATACCACAGTTGTTCAATTCTCAGGATATACTCATTCAGTATGTTTCACACCACGATTATTCTCTGAAAACGGTATGTATTTTATCCCAAAGAGATGGACCCAGGAAAAGATGTAAATGATACTTTTATCAAATGGAAAATAAAGTTAGGTTAGATTCTGAAACATAAGAAGTCATCAGAACAAAGGGGAAATCCAAAACATCAATACCAGAAAGATTTCTAAAGTAACTAACTATTTAAAGGAAAGTAAGAGGAGGCAAACATGCATCCTCAACACAGATGATCCTTGACTTGCAGACAGTGCTAGGTCCTGATAGTCGCTAAACTAAAAACATCTTAAATGGAAAATGCATTTAACACAGCTAATCCATTCAATGTCACAGCTTAGCAACCAAGCACACCCTAAAGTCTTGGTTCTATTTGTTCGTTTGTTTGTCTTTTGAGACAGGGTCTCACTATTTAACTTTGGTGGTCCTGAAACTTCAAATACAACTTATAGAAATCCTCCTGCCTCTGGGATTAAAGATATGTGCTACCACACCCACCAAGTGTTGGCTGACGGGGAGTGGCAGCTGCTGACCAACGTTGGGACTATTTAGAGCTCAGGAAAAGATTAAAATTCAAAGTACAATTTCTAGTGAATTAAAAATCATTTTCATATCATTGAAAAGTGGAAATTATTTTCATGTTGGGAACCATTAGTGTATCATAACAGTAATGGAGCACACATCAAGATTAAATGCAGACATGAGATCGATCCAACATTGCAAGAGAGGTGGTATATCAGTCAGTCAATGTAGTCAAGACAGAAATTCTAAGTGGAAATCAATTTATAGTTCCTTAATTCAAAATAAATGGGTATATTATTCCTCACCAGAATGCTATTGTTTATTGATACAAAGTTTTATTCTAGAACCCTGACTGAACTGGAACTCAATTGGTAGACATGCCTGGGCTCAAAATTGTGATGATCCTCTTGCCTCAGTGTCCTGGATGCCTGGATAATGGGCATGTGCCAGCATAATTTAAGAAACAAAAACAAAGGTTAGCCAGAGGTGTTCAAAACCAGTTATCCAAAGTCAGATGTGTGACAGATATAATCGAGGAGTTGGGAACAAGCCAATGGTAGAGATTCATGATTCTCTAGTAAGAATCTTCAACCCTTCAGAGCAAGTAGGAAAGTCAGAGAGCCCACACATTAACTTAAATTCCTCCTTTCTAAGAAACTGGATTAGAAAATTGCAAAAAGTCTCAGGTGGACTCCAGGTGTGTCCTGACACACCTTCAATCCCAGCACTTGGGAATTCAAGGCCAGTCTTCTACAGAGCAAATTCTAGGACAGCCAAGGCTAGGAAGAGAAACACTTTTGTCTCAGAAGAATAAAAACAAACAAGGCTTTGGTGACAACACTGGACACAGCTGGAGATCTCTTGCAGTTGACTCTACAGCCAACTATTTGAAAGACAACAGCATTCTGCATCAAGGACCATGTTTCCAGAACATTCACCAAGGACTCTCTAGTTACCAAATGAGGAACTTTACGTGTAGGGCCCAACAGCTCCTCACTAGATTGTCCCAAGAGCAGAAACAATGAATGACTGCCAGGCATTACTTGTTCGGAATGATTGGCACTAGAGTCCTTAAATTCTTTCAGTGTTTCAATTCAACACTGAACAAAAAACTTTATGGTAGAACTCTTCTGTTCGATCTACTCAACAGGGTAGAGATCAGCCACATGCAGCTACTGGACATCTGGAATACGTGTCTAAGGAACTGTTATTTAAACTTAGTCACAGTGTTAGGTAGCTACATACAGACAGCATAGTACTCAGGTCAATTACAAATCAAATGTCAGCTTGGGAGTGGGTATGAGGGGAGATGCTTATGGCCCACTTGAGGCATAAGCCACACATAAAGGATAAACAACTCTTCAGTTTCAGCTGTGTAGAGATTCTAGGAACCTCCTACTGGTGTTGCCAGACTGTCCGATTTTCCTAATGAAGCCAAAAATCTGGATTCTGATGTTCAATTTTTAAAAACTGGCAAGCAGAGTCTAAGAAAGAAGAATTTAAATCATACTGCGGGCTGAACAATATGCTTGCAGGCATTATCTGTCTTGCCAGCTTGCAACTTTTAATCTAGGCCAACCCTATCAGCTCGAAGAATAGGACCTTTTCCAAGGCCACCCTGCAGATTCAAGAATGAAACCCAGCCCTTCAGATACTCTTTCCTTTGAGATTCACTATAACGTTAGTGGCATTTGCAGCAGCAGGGATAAAACTCCCTTTGTAAGAATTCCAAGGCTGAGCTGGGTGTGGTGGTGCACGCCTTTAATTCTAGCACTCTAGAGGGGGAGGCAGAGACAGGTGGATCTCTTGAGTTTGAGGCCAGTCTGGTCTACAACCAGGGCTATGAAGAGAAAGAAAACACATGCACATATACACATAACAAACTAAACCAAACAAAAAAAAAGAATTCCAGAGCTGGTATCTTATAAGGTGTTCCTATGCAGATACAACAAAATAATTGGACTCTATGAGCACAAACGTGTAAAACAACATTTATCAAAGAAATCAGGCATTGCACACACATCGCTTATGTACAAATCCAAAAGCACTGACAGGTAGGGGAGAAGGAAGAGATTTGAGTGAGGCCTTCAAGAGATGACCCTCACTGATTGTGAAGGTGGATCCTATTGTTTAAAGACATTGAGGGGGGTCCTTATTTTTAAGGTGTTATTCTTGTTGAGCTTCCTTCCTGCTGGCTTCTACCCTTCTGGGTTGTCTCTAAATGTGAGAGACCTAAAGGGTTTGGGAACTTTCCTCATTTACTTCTATTCCAAGATTTAGGAATAAACCCTACATTTATTATCTCCACCCATTTATTGTCTCCCAACTTGTCTACCTCATTTCTGGACATCTTTGCACATATGTTCCAGAGAGCTTAGGATATTCCTTCCCAAACTGTTTCCTCTAGGGAGACATCTTTGGTTTCATATTCTCCCACACATTTCGTATCCAATTCAGCAGTCAGTCCAGGATACTCAGGCTCCTAAATATATTATGAATCAATTCTCTTACTTTCCTTGTTTCCAACACCACTGTTACTTCCCATGGCCTTAGCAACAGCCCTTTAGCAACCTTCTTTTATCCAACAGCAATTTAAAAAAAAAAAGTAAGTAAGGTCTGGTCATTCACTACACTTAGGGAAATAATACAAAAACCAAACCCTTGATATTTCTGCAACTCCAAGACTTGTTTCTCTTCTGCCTTTTGTTTAATTAAACCGTTACTTCCACACAGGCAGTTCCTTCCTTCTCCCATTCTCTTTTCCTCTTAAACCTGGAAGAGGCCTTCTCACCATGCCATTCAGTCTCTGGGGCAGCTGCTAATTCTCTGCACTCATTTACTTATTAATGAAAAGTTGAAGAACAAGACTTCATTTTGTCATTTGCTCATCTTGGTAATGAAACTAGCCTTCATCGTCACCTGAAGTCTGATTCCTACATCCGGGATCGTTTGGGTGGCCTCTCTCAATCAAGGCCGGCATCTCTCCAGCCTCCTAGAACTGCCCCTGTCGCCTTCCATTTACAATGGGAAAGTCTGAAGGGTCCCAAGCAGGATCTCGCCCACGTGCCAGTTCCCTTAGGCAGGTCTCCCGAGGCCAGTAGCGATGACACCAAGCAGCCCTCGCGAGGCTGGGGTCACACAGGCGCGTCTCCTAGCAACCCCACACCGGCATCTCATCCCTGTCCCAGGGAAGCCAACCCCTTTCCCCAGTACCCCGCGACTGGAGCCAGCGTCTCCATCCTTACACTCAGCGTCACTCCTGCCTTTCCCCACCCACAGGAGCCGGCTGGGAAGAGGCGGTGCCAGGAGCTCTGCCGAGCCTTGGCCACACCGGGCTCTATCCAGCAGGTCCGGCAGGCCAGGCCGGGCCAAACCACCGGGCGGACCGCTGTGGAAGCATGAGGCCCAGGTTAGAGGTTGTTTCAAACCTCCTGAAACTTCCAGATTTAGCCGACTTCGCGCCGCACTCAACAAATGAGCTAACCTACCTCTCCTCTAGCTTTCCCTTTCACCCTTTCGTTACTCCCTTCCCCCATTTCTAGTCAAAAAATGGCCTGGCCCAGGTCCTAGCCCACCCTCCGCCGCTCCCCGCCTTGCCCTTACTTGGAGATGGCTTCGGACGTCCTCGCGTACGTCGTGACGTCACCCTCCTCGTTCCTGTCCCCGCCCCTCTCCCATTCTCTCCCTCCTAGAGCCTGCGGCCGGCCGGGTTACCGGAAGTGATGATGCAGGAGGCAATGGAGGGGGCGGGGCTTCAGGGCGGCCGCCGCCGGTGGGCTGCAGATGAGGAGGAGGCGGCGGCCGCGGTGGCAGAAAAGGCGGCGGCGGCGAGGGTAGGGAGCCTGGAAACGCAAGCGGGGATGGTAGGTAGTTTGGACTCGCCGGGCCGCCGTCGTTTCCAGAAAGGGTTTGACTGGAGGAACCTCTGGAGCAGCTGTGAGTTTGGAGGGGGGGGAGTTGAGGAAAAGGGGGGAGCATTAAGAGATGAAGGGGCGGGGGTTCGGTTCCTTCGAGAAAGGGGGTGGTGGTGGAAAGGGAGGAGTGCAAATCAGCGCCTTGTCTGGACTGGCCCCTCTGGAAGAAGAGGCTGTGAGGGGAGCCTGTGGCTTGTCAAGCGCAAGGCTCCGAAAACTTACCTACTGTCCCTGCTTTTCCATCGCCTGCACCCCTCAATCCCAGGCCTGGGGACCTGGGGCTGTAGATCCCCGGGGAGGCTCTGCAGACTCTGAGCTGAAAGTCCAGGGTAAGAGACGTGAGGTAGGAGCCCAGGGGGAGGTGGTGGGGGAATCTGCAGCTCCCTCCCTGATTTTTCTCCCCACCCCCATCCTTCTCTGTAATCGTTAACAGCCCTGGAATTAAGGGGCTCAGACCTGAAGGCCTTTCTGTGCACCTTTGCTATAAACGATAACCATCTGTGCCTGAGGTAATGGGGCTGGAGATTTTGCCTATATCCTGTTTAGGAAGTGGGACGGGATGACAAATGTATTGTTTTTTCCATCCTCACCTCTTATCTTCCCTCATACACACCCCTGTTTCTACTTTAATTCTCTGTGGTTGGGTGGCAGTCGTGGTCACCCTCTCTCTTTTGTGGCACTTAGTACCTCTGTTACCTCTTTTGAATGTTGTGTTCAGCCTCTATCCCAGCTCCTAACTGCAAGCTTTTGTAGTACTTCAGTTATGGTCTGTGTCACATTGGGGAGTACCTCACAACGCCGCCTGGCTCCCGATTGTAATGAACATTTTCTCTTAGGAATACTAGAATGCCAGAGCTCTTGCAAGGCATCATAAATGGCATCATAGCCCAGGAATCAAGGTCTCTCGCTCTGAGTACTTTATATGTGAGGAATTTACATGTTGTCAACTCTCTCCAAAAATGATTTGCTGTTAGGCTAATTCTGGATTTCTGTGTTTCTCTCCACCCACACTTCATGATGCACTTCTGAGAACAGAAAACCCTATATTACTGTTTTTGTTTCTACAGTTGGACAGTTGCTCTTGTATGACTTTCTCGATTTTTTGTGTCTTACAGTCAGCTTGATTTTTATCTTATTTAGCCGATACTTTGTGTATAGGTAGTCTTAGAAGAGGCAGTGTGATATGTGGTTATGCTTTTAGCAAAACACAATGTATAATGGGTATGGGAATGTCTGAAGAAAGATTAATTGGAAAGATCTCCTTCATATTGTTTAAAACAAACAAACAAACAAACAAACAAACAAACACCACGAGTAAGTAGTGCCTCTTCTAGCCTGTCAGAGATTTCAGAGTGAAGTGTTAATGAATCTTGTTTTGGCATTGATACATTTTAAAAAAGAAATTCTTTGTTGATTATGGAACTGTCTTTTAAGAAACTTTATGT